CTATCTATACTGTCCTGAGAAAGTCCCTGTAGATGTCTTTATTTCTCTCTCCTTGGGGCTTACAGGACTGGGAGTAGAATTAATTCAATCATTCTATATAATAAAAGGCTAATATGCAAATTGTCCCCTCAGGAGTTCAACTGTTGGCTATGATGTGCACATCACCAGGGGGCAGCGTGGAATGCAAAGGACAGCTCGAAATGAAGGAAGGTCCTGGCCAGCAGCTGGGGAAGAAAGCCCCACCCAGCAGCTGAAAGACCTTGATTGGCTCTAATCGCTGGCAGGCCTATGGACCCTATCTATGAAGAAATTTCATGCACTGGGCCTCTACTATAAAATAAAAATAATTAAATCAATCATATTAAATTAAAAAAAGCTTTATTATCATCACCAACTGAATTTCATTTCAACTGTATTCATTTTAACCTTGATACATTGCTACAATAAATAAGATAAAGAGAAAAACATAGCTAAAAGATTTAAGCTAGCAGCTTATTTGGATATTAACCCTGACTTCTTTGGCTTAATTCATAAACAATTTTTAAAATATGGGTATACTTTTCCTCTTGAAAACTATTTATGTACTTTACATTAAAGAGATAAAAACAACAACAATCCACAACCACCAACCAAACAAACAAAAAACCCACAACTAAACTTTGAAATTGATGACATGGTCCTTGTTTTTTATTTTATTCAAGCATTTGTGAAGTGTTTGTCAGGATTAAACCTTTACACAGGATTTTTTGTTTATAGTATTAATTTATTAAGAAAAACAAAACAAAACATGCCTGTACAGTAGTGCCAATTAAGCTTTAACCCAACCCATACTTAAAATTTTAACCAGAATAGTTTGGTTGTGATGTCCATGCAACTGTGTATTAAAACAGGCCTGTAATAATTCTCTAGGCAGTGGACATAAGAAAGAAGAAAACCCCTCTATAATTTAATTTCCTTCTGACTCCTGCCCTTTCCTTCACTTGATGAGTAAGTGAATTAAATGTATTAAAATCCTCATCACAATTTCCTCCTGCCCCATGAACACAGGTTTGGCTACTCTCAGAAATAATTGGCTTCTTTCTTTTTAAATACATGCACCAATAAACTGAATTCTGTCTGTGTACTGACATTGGTGAGAGAGGAGGAAAAGTTCAGGTTCAGAGTTTAAGAAAAAAAAAAAAGCAACTATGTGTCTCTGCTTATATAAGCTTCAAAGAGCTGCATACTGGGTGAACTTATCTTAGCAAGAATGGTGTTGCAAACGGATTCTATTAACATGCATTATAACTTCCCACACCTCAGAAACATTTCCCTTACTGTTATTTTTTGAGGTCAGAAGGTCTCTGTTATTAAAGCTACAGCCTAAGAGTAGCCCTGCAGGTGCAGAGAGGAGAGAATGCTTGGCAAGCCAGGGGTGTGCGCATTAGGGATTTTTCTTGGTTGCAGTGTGGATGCTGTGGAAGCATTCTATTGATTCCAGGGGAAATTTCAGCTGCTTTTCAGTTCAGACAAAAAAATTTTGACCTAACGTTTTCACTCAGAAGAAATAGAGAAAGGAAGAAAGAATGAAATAAGACTGGCTTACATCCATTGTGTCCTTGGTAAAAACAGAATGATAGATTTAAAAATCTATCAGCCTTCTAACACTTTTTTTGGTTTAATGTAGAGCGGTAAGTGTTAGGAGGCGTGTTAGATAGTGAAAGGAACAAAACAATGGACAACATAGAGTATAGGGCTTAATTACTGTTTCCATTAAGATCTAAGGCATGCCAATGAATTATTGAGCAGAAAACATTGATATCTGAAGATAAAAAGAACTTCACATTAGTTGGGAAGAGGACTGATTTTAAAATCTGCCAGAATTAGATCCTGAAACAAAACAAAACAAAACAAAAAAAAATGGCATTCATTGACAAAATGGTCAAATTAAAAAATATTGAGATTCAGCTAACATATCACTGTTTATTCCTTAGTTGTGAATAATGTACTGCAGTAATTTAAGATGACAACACCAAGGAACATTGAAACCAGGTGAAGGGTATGCAGGAACTTTCTGTATTATACATCTAAAACTAACACAAATAATATCTCCCCTCCAATTATTCTAAATAAATACACCATTAAAAATGTCTGGAGACAAGTACACAGTCTCCTTCTGTGTGATGCCCAGGTCACTTTGAAAGCCTATCTTGCAAAGAGGATGCCCAAAGATCTATTAGATTCTTGAATGAGGGGACTGGACAGCATGCTGTGCTCCTTTGTTTGACAATGAAGCAAACCTCTCTCATTCTAATGATGTGCATTGTAATACTGATGACTACAGCTGGAATACTCAGAGGCTGGGATGTTTGTAACTGGAGGCTTGCATCATTGGAATTGGATACTGAAACCATCATCTTCCAGTGAACAAGGCAGAGATAGACAGTGGTTGGCAACTCATTAGTCAACAGAGACAGATATCAACAATACAATGATTGAAATTTCTTTTGAGAGCCCAATTTTTTAAACTTAAACTTCTTCTTTTTTAAAATATATTTTATTGATTTTTTACAGAGAGGAAGAGAGAGAGGGATATAGAGTTAGAAACATCGAAGAGAGAGAAACATCAATCAGCTGCCTTTTCCACACCCCCTACTGGGGATGTGCCTGCAACCAAGGTACATGTCCTTGACTGGAATTGAACCTGGGGCCCCTGAGTCCACAGGTTTTGACAAACTTAAGCTTCTTCTAAAGCCAAGTCTTCAAAACAGACTTGCCCAGGCCATGGTATTTTGTGGAAGAGCCACACTCAAGGGTCCAAAGAGCCTCATGTGGATTGCAAGCCACAGTTTGCCGACCACGGTACTAGAATGGCGGCACTATGAAAACTAACTTGGTTGAATCCCAAGCAGTGAGGCAGCCTTCATGTCCTGATAGAGTTTAAGTGAACTCAGAGAAAGCCAGTAAGATTCTATGAAAAGACACTACCCTACATGGTGCCCCAGTGTCCCCTGCCACTAAAGAAAGCAGGGTACGTTGTCCAAAGATGTTTTCAGAATGAGTCTGGTTAAAAAAGTTCTCCCTGTGTTAGAGATGACCTCCTCCATGTCATCTACTTGCCATTGAGGTACTGAGGCATTTGGGTCACCAGAGCAAGCCCAAACTGTGTGGAGACAGATAGATGATTGTCTATACAAGGCAATCTGAAGGAAGGCAAAAGGCTGCCTGGCTAAAGCTGTTAAGGGCTTGAAATTCTCATTACTCACTCCGTTGGGTGAGGATAGATTCTAAAAAGCATCTTTTAAAATGTTGCTTCAGTGAAACAATGTGTTGGTCAACACTGTCCCATTACTAGAGCAAGATTAAGAAAGACCGAGAATCTCAAATCACTTTTGAATCATGGGGATTAGGGAAAGGAAAACCCCGAAGCCCAGGACATTTCTGACATTTCCCCAATCTGCCTTGCCAGCATTGTATTTCATCACTCCCCCAGACCTTAGCACATACCCAGTCTCATTCACTGTGAGCTTGTGATTCTGACAGAAACAGTTCCAGTTAAGATCTAGAAGCAGAAAAGTTCTAATAAAATTCTGAAGATAGAATGTTTGGAACTGATAAGAGAGTTTGTGATACCAACTGACCTTTTTCCTGAGCTGCTCTCATCCTCTGTCAAGGTATAGACACCTTCAACTTTAAGACCAAGTCCAAAACTGGCTAATTACAATACTTGTATATCTAATTAAATTTGAGAATGGCTCCTGATTATTGATTTCATTAGCATTAATTATTATTTCATGTGGCTAGCCATATATTATTGCCATAAAGTGCATTTTAAGGTCAATTCACAAAGCTATACTTTCTTTTTACACAAAAGCATAGGAGAGACTTGCTATAAAGCATCCATTCTATTCAGTGTTCTACATGCTCCCACTGAAAAGTATAATTTTCTAGCTGCAGTAAAATGATTTGACAATTCTTCTAGCTCTCCCAGGGGTAGAATATTGATATTTACCTCGGTTAGAAAGACATTCTTCACCCTGGGAGTGCTTACAAATGTTATCTAAATTAGTGATCTTTATAATGAATCTGACAGAGTCAAAATTGATCAACCTGAACAGTTCCTATAAGTAGTAATGACAATTTTTATCTTCCTCTGCAGTTTTTCCATAAAGTGACAGCTTTGCCTGCTATCTCAAATTCCAAAATACCAATAAATAGTCAACCAGCAACCAAAGGCTTCAATAAAGTGAAGAGTCTAAGAATGCTCTAAATCTTGATCGTGGTTATGAGGAACCACTTATATATAAATATTCATTGTATTGTACAATTAAACTTTCTGTGGTTTAGTATACCTATTTTATCATTCATAAAAATCAAGCTAAATAAGAGTATACTAGTAAGACTATAAGAGATGCACAGCAAAATAGAGCATTCTCTTAAGAATTTAAATTTAAATGTTTTCTTGTATACCAAAATTTCAAAATTCTGGTGTACAAATTTTTTTGACTTTGTATGAGGTATATTAGTGGAAGACATGCTTTAATAGGTTGCTCAAATAGGGATATGTGCTCTGTCATCCTTAGCCATGCTTCTGGTGATTTTTCCTGAATCTCTAATATTCTCTTCCTATAGAACCCTATATATACACATATCACATAATATATTGCAATTACTAAATTAGTTGTCTATCTCCCCAACTATCAATAGACTACAAAAGAAAGAACTGTGTCATGTTTATTTTGCTATCTAGCACAAGGCCTAGATCAAGAAATACTTAATGATTTTTAAAAATTCATTTTATGGACATAAAATTTACATACCATTAAAAATACCAATTTGACAGTACTATATAGTGAGTTCCAGACATGTAACCATCATCACCATCAACATACAAATATACAGAATAATTTTACCACTATTAAGCGCCCCATCGTGTCTTTGAAATCAATTGCTTCCCCAACAAGTCTATGACCCTGAAATTGCTGATCTACTTCTTTCTGTCCCCAGATTTTCAATTTTTAAAAAATATGGGGCACTTCATGAATTTGTATGCCATCCTTGCACAGGGACTATGCTAATCTTCTCTGTATCATTCCAATTTTAGTATATGTGCTGCTGAAGTGAGCATAATATTTTAACTTTTGTAATATTTCATATAAGTAGAATCATAAAGCATGGAAATTCCCTCTCTTCTCCCTCCCTCCCTCCCTCCCTCCCTCCCTCCCTTCCTCCTTTCCTCCCTCCCTTCCTCTCTGCCTTCATTTAGAATATTTTTCACAATTGATCTATATTATTTAATGTATTAGTAGTTCATGATTTCTTACTAGAGGCCTGGTGCATAAAAATTCATGCACTGGAGGGGGGTTTCTCAGCCTGGCCTGCCCCCTCTCCCAGTCCAGGTGCCCTCAGGGGAGGAAGGCAATCCGGCGATCAGAGGAAGGCGATGCCCCATCACAACCGACACAGTCGGACATGTCTCTCGCGATGTTGCTGTTGCTGCTGCTGTGGCTCCATGGTACCTCTCTGTGCTGTGGTTACGCCCCAGGTTCATGATGTTCAAGGCTTGGCCCTGGGGGTTCAGGTATCCCATTGGTTGCTGCTGAGGAGGGACAGCAGGTCATGGTCTGCTGGCTTGAATGGCATTTGGATTCCCCAGGCTTGGCTAGAGCTGAAGGCTGGGCTGGCTGGCCACATACTTGGCTGTGTGCTATTTGATGAGAGATGCCATCAGCTGAGAGTTTGACTTGAGGATGTTGAGCATGTGCTATTGCTGGGATTGCTGGGAGACTTCAGGGTCCACAGCAGCTCTTACAGGGCACCTGGAGAGATGTTCTAAGGTGGCTGCACCTTGGGTCTGCATAGACATCATGGATCTGGGCATGTCTCACATTGACTATTTCTGGGGGATGGGTGTTGGCTGCCACTGCTGGGGCTTGGGGATAAGAATAACAGGCCCACTGACCTGGTTGGGTCACATTCAGGCCCATGGAGGCCATTTAGTTCTCTGGGATTACTGTGCCTCAGGGGCAGTGTTGTTGGTGCTCACCCAGTACAAAGTTGTTGCTGTGCCTCATGTGAATCTGCTGGGTGCCTCCACTGCTGCAGGTGGGCCTGGGTGGGGGGCCGTGGGGCTGGCACTTGGTTTGTGGGCTTTCCAGTGCAAACTGTGGTGGGGCTGAGAGGATTGGATGCCACCACCTTTGTGATAGAGTGACGGTTAATTTGCATATCACCCTTTTATTAGATAGGATTACCAATCAGTATTTCATTGCATATACCACAATTCCATAATTAGTTCATTCATTTTTAATCAATATATATTTAGATTGTTTGGATTGTTGGCCGGTTTCTCACCAGCATTTTTCATTGTGTGTGTATATGATTCTATCTAATAAAAACTTCTGTTAACATTTTGTATATAGCAAGTCTGCCAGCAACTGCTTGTATCAGGTTTTATTTTTCTGAAAGGGTTTGACATTCATTTAAAAAAATATTTCCAGCCGAAACCAATTTGGCTCAGTGGATAGAGCATCGGCTTGGGGACTGAAGGGCCCCAGGTTCGATTCCTATCAAGGGCATGTACCTTGGTTGCGGGCATATCCCCAGTAGGGGGTGTGCAAGAGGCAACTGATCGATGACTCTCTCTCATCGATGTTTCTAACTTGCTCTCTCCCTTCCTCTCTGTACAAAATCAATAAAATATATATTTAAAAATATATATTTCCACTGAATATAGAATTTAGGTTGATAATTTTAAAAATATATTTTAATTGTTTGCCTTCAATGTCTGCCTTGCATAGTTTCTTATGAGCAATATGTCATCATTCTTCTCTTTATGAATGTTTTTATAGATATTAGAGAGAGAGAGAGGAAGGGAGAGGGAGAGAGAGAATGGGACTCTCTACCGATGCAGATCTCTGGAGTAATCTGCTTCACAAAATCTAGGGTTTTTGTTTTGTTTTGTTTTTATTGTTGTTTTTAACTCTGATCTTTAGTTGAAGAGAGCTATAAGGTTACAACTATGTATTCCCTCTCTATGCTGCAGCCTGAAAACTTAGTCTAGACAATAAACTGAAGTAAACATAGACCTTATTTCATTTTTTTCTCTTCTTTCAGGAACCACAGTATACAATTACTTAGTGTCCAAGGTTTGACAACCATAGTTTTATATTTTTTCCCCTCCAATTTTCCATCTGTGTATCATGTGAGCATAAATCTGGTCTGGAATGTTTAAGTTTTTCTTACTCTTGATAATTTTTTAAATAGAGTGAAGACATAAAACATCAGTCATTTAATGTGCAAATTACAAAATTTAAGAGGAATAGCCAAGAACTTGAACAATAGAATCAATGTTCAATGATGTCAAAATTATACTGGTAACTATCAATTTCATCATTTAGGCTCAATTAAATCAATTGTTCAGGTAAAAATGGAAAGGGAAGTAAGGTATGGCAACCCTGGTTTAGTAGCAGTTTATGTAAAAATACTGCTCAGCTTTTGATAATTTTAGAAAAGTTCTGTGCAGGGTCTTTTATTAAGAAGATTATTTTTAAAAATGCAATCTTTAAAAAAGACCTTCATAAAAATATGTGATCAGATCAAAGGAGTTATTATTATCACTCTGTAATTCTATACTCAATTTAATTTTCTTTAAAATTTGAACATAAACTTACCATACAATCTAACAATTATACTTCAAGTTCTACCCAAGAGAAAGAAATGAAAACAGGTCCATACAAAGATTTGCATGCAATTTTTTAACAGAATTATTCATAACAGTAGAAACTGAAAATTATCCAATGTTTATCATTTGGTGAAAGAATTAACAAAACATGGTAGATTTATATAATGAAGAATTATTCAGAAATTAAAAGGAACAAATTATTAATACATGCCTGCTTAGAACTCACTTTTATAAATAAGTGATAAACTAATTGTGTCTGAAAGAAGAAAATCCTGGCCTATAATAATAGACTAATGTGGTATTTTTATTTCTGGATCACACCAGAGAGTGATCCAGAAACAAGTTTTACCACCTCATGTGGTCTATTTTCCATCCACCTCTGCAATAGTTAGGGTTCTGTTTTATTTTCTACCATCCTGATTTTTTTCTCAATGTGTTTGATCATAAGGTAATTTTGTCTAGATATCACCTATCAGAAGAAATTGGAAAGAGAAAGTGAAACAATGATATATAAATTTAAAAAAAATCTTTTAGTTTTAACTGACAGAAATCCAATTCAAAGACAAAATTTAAAAAGAGATTACATTTCGGATGATGCAATATTTTTAAGATGGCAGTTCTCTCCAAACTGATATATACAATAGGTTTAATGCAAGACATGGGGGTAGGGTGAAAGGGGGAGGGAATCTCTGATGAATAAAAGGGGATATCATGATTTCAACAATAAAGATAAATTTAAAAAATAAAGTAACAAAAATACTCATTTGAAATAAAATCCCAGTAAGCTTTTTTCCCCATAGAATTTTACTTATATTTACATATATACACCAGCACATGTGTATACACACAAGAACTAATCTTAGCTTCTTAACTTATACCACAAAGTAAAATGGATCATAGAACTAAATATGAGAGCTAAACTACAACATTTTTAGAATAAATAAAGGAAAAAAACATTTTAAACTTTGGATTAGGCAAAGATTGTTGGATATAACACCACAAACACAATTCATAAAAGAAAATAATTGATAATTGAACTTCATCCAAATAAAAATATTTTCTTTTCAAAAGGCATCATTGTAATAATGAAAAGCACATCATAGAATACAAGGAAATATTTTCAAATTATATTTCTAATATAGGACTTGTATCCCAAATGTACAATATACTCTTACTACAGGATTATAGCAAGAAGACAAACAACCCAATTAAAACATGGGCAAAATCTTTGAACATCCAATTCACCAAAGAAATATATGAATGGTCAATAAACACAAAAGGAGCTCAGCATCATTAGTCACTAGGGTAATGCCAATAAAAACCACAATGAAGTAACACCACACACATACCCAACAAAATGATTTAAAAGTTTGACAAATCAAGCACTGTCCAGGATGTGATGAAATGTTATTAATAGGGCTATAAAATGATAGAATCACTTTGAAAAACAGTTTTCTTAAAAATTTGAATATATATTTATCACATAACCTAACAATTATACTCTTAGTTATACCCAAGAAAAAGAAGTGAAAACCTGTCCACTCAAAAATGTGTATTCAAACTCTTTTTAGCATCATTATTTATATTAGCCCCAAACTGAAAAGAATCCAAATGTTTATCATCTGGTGAAAGGATAAACAAAATATGATACATTCACATAATGGAATATTATTCAGCAATTAAAAAACAAAACAAAACATTAATAGATGACTCAACAGGAATGAACCTGAAAAACATTATGCTGAATGAAAGAAGTCAGATTCAGAAGACCAGTTACTGTATGACTATATATATATATATATATATATATAAAGTTTTATTTAAAAAAAAATCTATGAGACAGAAAGCAGATCAGTGGCTGCCTGGAACTGGAGGTAGGAATAAAAATTGGCTGCAATACAGCAAAAGAAAACTTTATGGAGTAATAGAAATGGTATAAGTTGAAATATGTTACTAGTTGTGTAACTAAAAAGTTACTAAAATTCATTAAATTGTATGTCTAAAATGGGCATATTTTATGATATGTAACTTATACCTCAATAAAACCGTTAAAAATAATTATGAAGGGGAGAGGTCATTCAATCAAACACAAGTGAGGCAGGAGTATAGCTAGTTCTTTGGGAACCACAGTAACCCTTAACTTGAATACCATGAATCGATCTCTTACCCTCCATCTCAACTTCTGTGTATGTGTGTGTCTCTGTGTGTATGTATTTCATCTAAACTTCCTACAAACCACTTTTTATGGTCAGGAAATATGGCTTCTTGGCTTATGTTGGATAGCATTTTAGTGGAGAAGGGCTGAAACGAACTTGTTACTTGGTTAAATGCTCCAATTATCTTAGTTTGAGTGTGAATGCTCCTTGCACCAACCAATAATCAATAGCAATTAGGTCAGACTCTCTCTGTTATATTGCATATACTGTATGTGTGTGTTTTGTGTG